ACACCATTCAAAAGAGGCAGTAAAAAAGCTAAGAAAGAAACAAAAAGACCAGAGCACATCCTCTCCAGCAGCCTACACCCAGATAAGCAGGGATTAACACCAGACAAACAATCAAGAAGAAAACAATACCCCAATCAAGGAACTACCAAGGAGAAAACCACACCCCCACCCGCACTGGCAGGGCAGGCTACTGTACATAAACAGGGGGCAAACACCACACTCACAAGCACTGATGATGTCGGGTAATGAAACATCTGCAATCGATCAACCAAGCTCAGAGAGCACTAAGAAATCCCCTGTTCACTCTGGGCTACATACGTGCTCTTCTATTTGCTTCCATAAGATGTTTTCTTTTCAGCTCAGATTTGTTCACATTGTCTTGATGCCCTGTCCTGCTAATTCTGTCACCCATACTCATGATTATTGATCAGAAGCCCCACAAAGTGATGCTTTCTTTCCACAGAAGACTTAAATTAACTGAAAAACACATTTAATTTCTCTTCCAAACTCATTGGTACCTTCCATGGAAGACATAAACATTAGATAAGGTTCAAAAGTTGGCAGCACAACTATAATCTGGCTAGGGCATGTTTTACCATTGAAACTTCTTTAAGTCTTGCATTAAGTCATAGATTAAATCATCACGGAAGTTAGGAGGATTTGAAGCTCTTTGTTATTGCTAATTCATTTTAAAAGGTTATGATTTTGTGTGGAAAGTAATGAAAACAGAAGATAAGTATCTTCTACATGGCTTAACAAATACACTTTCTATGTCAATATTAATTAGCAGGAAGCTTTTAAATAATGTACTGTTTTGCTTTCATTTAAATATAAATCTCACAACATTTTATATCTTAGGACTTTTTCACTGCTGTTGACAGAAGCACTAAGTAGAATTTATAGATCTCATTGTTCAACATTAAACTATCCAGTAAAAGAGAGAAATATAATCACTCTGCTGTTGAGGGGAGAAGGAAAGTATCACATTAAGCCATTTCTTGATTTTTTTAAAAAGCAATCTAAATTTCAGGCATTAATATGCACTTAAATCAAGGAAGGGAAACCCTTCACATTTTCATTAGGAGTCATATAAATATCCGCTGCGGAAATTCAAAGAGGAGGTATCATTTCAGAATGTCCACCTACCCAGACGAGGGTGGCTGTTCTTATGCATTGCCAGAGACAGGGAGAGGGAGAAAAGAAATAGAAGATATTTATCAATATCAATATTGATACATAGAAATAGATATAATTCTCATTTAAATAGAAATGCAAATTATGGAAAGCAGCTGTAACTGGGAGGCTTTCAAGGTTACCCTGTCTGAACGTCAAAAATTGAGATGATCTTTGGAAAACAGCAAAGAGAATTAGAGTTTAGTGAACATCCATTTTTTTCAGCCCAGCTCAAGTAGCTGTACTACCAATTCACTTTGCTCCCTAGGCTGAGGTTAAGGTTGATGGCCAAATTCAACACCTCTATTCTCTCTTAGGGTGCCTCTATCTTTAAACCAGACTGTAATCTAAATGGCAAATATCTTTAAATAGCTCTGCTAAGACAGAAATGCCCATTTCTCCTGTAGTTTAATCTCACAGAAACATGCCTTAAGTCTCATCACTCCCCTCTTCATTACTAGCATGGCCTTGTGAAGGTGATTAGAAGATGATCTTCATTTTCCACTGAATTCCACTGAGTCTCTGACTCTAGTGTTTGCCTTATATGTACATAATGGGCCTGAGTTTCTTTCAGCCATGGAGACTCCCTGGATGACTTTGTGCCAATTTCATCCATCCATCCATCCATCCATCCATCCATCCATCCATCCATTCAATTTATATACTGTAGCTGCCCATCTCAAACCAGTGATTCTGGGTGGCTAACAATAATAAAAACAAACACTTAAAACAAAGCAAAAAATTAAATATAAATCTAAATACAGCCAAGAGATCTAAAAACCGTTGGTATCAGCACAACCATGAAACGGCCCTTTGCACACTCGAAGCCCCAGGCCCAGGCATAAAGCTAGATCTTCAAGGCCTTCCAAAAAGCTGAAAGGGTCGGGGCCATCCTAATCTCAGGAGGGGGATGTTCTGGACGGCAGGCACCACAGCGGAAAAGACATGTCTCCTGGTCCCCGCCAGCCAACATTCCTTGGCTAACAAGACCTGGAGCATGCCCATCCTGCCAGACCAGATTGGACGGGTAGAAACAACTGGGAAAAGACAGTCCCTAAGGTAGCCCAGTCCCAAGCCACTGCTATCTCTCTCAGCCCAATCTTCCTCCTAGGGGTTGCTATCGTGGGGATAAAAGTGAAGGGAGATCCCCATGTAAGCCTCCTGCAGGAAAGATGAGATACACAAGTCAATCTAAGGAAACAAATAATTCCATCCCTCTCCTTAACCATGAAATCCTACTGTACAACTTAGTAACTTTGTTTCTTCATGCTTCAAAGTATAACATTTCAACAGCTTCCATGGAGAAAAGTGGTAGATCTGTACTGGTTTTGTGGCAATGGGGGGAAAAAAGTGGTAATGACCATGTTTGTTTGGTGGAAGCTAGCTGTTCCCGCATAGCTAACTAATTCCTTGATCCTGATTTTTTGGGCTAAAAAAACTTCAGCATATCAAATAGGGTTGAGTTGGCCATTCCTGGATTAATTATGCAAAATTATAATTTTTTGTTGAACTTTGTTCAGTTCAGGCCAGGTTCAAAGTAGATTTTTCCATGCAAAGAGGTAACTACTATATTGGCAGAAGACTGCACGGACAAGTACCTAATTTTAGGAGATTTGGGCCCTACTAATTATTACCTACAAAGAAGCATACATCTAATAAAGAGAAGAATTTATTTTTTTACCGATGAGGAATTCACAATATCAAGGAGACAAAGAGACTCCTACCATTCTGAAGCCAATGAGGTGGAAGATACTTACCTTCGACGCAAGACGGCTGTGCGTGTGTTGTGCCTGCAACCTGACCAGGGAGGCAGGAGCACTTGACGGTCTGTGACCGCTCTTCAATCCTGTTCTTGTTGCAGCACCGATGCACTGCCACCACCTCGCAGGTCCCTTGCTTAACTTGGTTGAGACCTATGAATAACATGGCACAGGTTATTGTCTCAGCACTGATTACAAAGGACATAGGACTTCCATCCTCTCCATGTTTCTCCCAGCAAAACCAGTTTATGGACAAATTATGGGAAATCTTATCACAGCCTCCTCAACCCATCACTTCACCCGTCACACTGGAACTCATGTATGGCTCATCCATGTCATACAATCCATTACAATGAAAAAATCATTTATCAGATTGGCACACCATTGTAATCATATAATAAAACTTAAAAAACAATCTGATATTACAGGTAGTCCTCGACTTACAACCATTCATTCAATGACTGAAGTTACAGCAGGGCTGAACAAAAGGACTGGTCCCCAAAGTTACGGCCATTGCAGCACCGGTGCAGTTACATAATCAAAATTTGGCCACTTGGCAGCCTGCCCACACTTACAACCACAGGGGCACTTCAACTCCCCCCATGTGCCTATCTCCCCTCCAATCTCTGCCCTTCTGGCCCTCTATACTCCACGGCCCCTGCCGCCCAGCTGATCTTCACCATCTTCTTGCTCCCACTGCTGACCAAGCATGCCCACCCTGGCCTTTCACAAGGCAGCTGCTGGCCACATGAGGCTTCCTTCCCAAGGTTGCACATAGTGATTTCCTCACGAGTCCTGGGGGAGATGGCCTCACTTGACCAGCAGTTGCCTCGCAAAGGGTCAGGGCAGGCATGCCTCGTCAACAGTGGGAGCAAGGAGATGTTGCAGGCCAGCTGGGGCAGCGGAGCGCAGGGCAGCAGGGACCTTGGAGTGCAGGATGGTGAGGGCGACTGCAGCTGGGACTGAGCTGGGGCAGCTGGGGCTTTCTGGGGTGCATCAGCTTTGCACCATATTGCTGAGCTGAGCTGAGC